TCGTCACGAAGCGCTAAGTTTGTGACTCCCGTATGCCATAAACCTATTGGGTATTGAGTTTCAGGAATCATAGTTCGCGCTGCGTCTCCTTTCAGAATATAAACATAACAAAATACTGTTTCTTTGCCAATTTAAAACAGTTGAAGAATCTCAAAATGGGACATTTTTGCCTTCAAGGTAGTTTATGAAACTAGTGCAAACACAGGAATTTTATAACGATGCGGATAAAACAAATAACTGTAGGAATTAATTAAGATTCATATAGTTATCTTTGTGATAAATAGACAGTGATAAAAATGCGCCGTTGTCGTATTTGATTAGTATTAATTTCAATGCCAGTGGGTAATAAACGTTGATGTACAAATTTATCTTAATATTTGGTTAAATTTAAATAACAGTTTGTGCGTGACCGTCTGTGAGTTCAGTTTTGTAAAACAGTAGAGTACTCCCAGGTGAGAATTAAAGCTGTTTTATATAATTTAAATCAAATACAGGTACAATATTATATCGGTTCATCGAGTGTCATAATACATCGTTATTTAAATCTGTCCTATAGACATAACATTTATTACTATTCTGTTTGTGATTCTGGTCTGTTTAGTGAGACTAAAAATCCTTTTTCTAGATAACTTTTAAGTTTGTACTCGGCGCAGCTGCTTATAACTTAGGCGTGGGTAGCGCTACAGCTCTGAATAAACCTGACAACACCACTTACGATATTTTCTACGATAGTAGCTGAAAATATAATACTGTAAAAATAATTCTGGTTAAATTTTGAAGATAGGAGCACTGATTAGATACTAGTTAAGAATAATTTTGAGACCCAAGAAGTTATTGACTAGTCTGGCACAATCCAAATATTTACGAGTAGCAAGACGCCGCCCTAATTGACTATTTGTTCTGGTGTGGGCGTTTTTTCTTCGCTTGATGTGCGCCTAAACGTACATATAGTGATGGCAAATAATAGAATAAGGAACTTAACTTACAGTCAACTAATCTGTAAACGATGGGGAAATGGGTCACGATTACCATCTATTTCATTGATTATTTTTCATTTATATATATTTCAAAAATATTCTACGGTCCCGATGTGCCACAAATTTCACTGCCTCCGTTGTCATAGGTTGTAGGGTGCGGATTATAAAGAGGATACGGCGTTATTATTGATACATGATATAGAATTTAGCAGTACCTATTTTAATAATGTTTTTTGGTTTTCAGGTCGCCACCTGCATAATAGGGAGCCATACGCCGCGGCGGAAAGACGGGTGCGCTACGCACTCGTGGTACGTATAATACACAATACTGATTAGATAATACCTCTAAAAGAATATTAAAGTATTATTTTTAAACCTACCAAAATTAGCTTTAAGAGAGATTTAAACCTCTTGACAAACAATATGGCCTATGTTTCTGCAGTAATATTTGAAAAAAAAAGTTAATTTGTTAGTTAAGCATCTTTTATTGGTCAAGCTGGTAAAAACTTGACAGTAATGTCAAGTTGTAAGCTTTAGTAATAAAGCGCACTATCGTTAACTCTCAACATATCCGATAAAGCTTTTTAGTCGCCCGCATCCCGTCAGATTGATATTGGACGTCCAATCAGACGTCACTGTCACCCATTGATGCCACTCACAACCGATTGCAGTTTCTGTGTCCTATTTTAAACAGAAATTCAAACTTCCAAGCAAAAATGATTTAAGAATATAGCTATCAAAAAGTTTTCAAAACATTACTTTGCTTTATCACTTGTTTTAATTTTTTTATTTAAAACAACACGATCTTTCGAGTGTGTTAATATAAAGATGAATTGTCTTTGTGTTATTCAAATTCACACAGACAAACAAATCGCTTTTTCGTTGGGCTTTTAAAACACTGGATTTTGATTGCATGTGGTACAATGTAAATGGTAGTTTAAATTCAATTTCCGTGCACCACGTAACACAGACTGGGCGAAGCTCATACGAATTATGTATCACACCTGTGTCTTGCACTTAATTAGAAAGCTAGAATTGCCGTCCTCCATGCTCGTGTTTGCTTTGATTTCAATTAAATGTAATTAAGCTTCTACAACCTGTTGTGTCGTGGTATTGCAGGTGTTATATTATTTAGTGCTCTTCTCGTAATTGAAATTTTAAATATGAACGAGTTTTTATTTTTGAACCAATAAGTTTCTTAATACTAAACCGATTTTCACTTGCAATTCAATATATTTACTTTACAATGAAAGCGGAGTCAATCATCAAAGAAGATAGGAAGAAATCTGACATTTAATAGGATTCTTTTTTAAATTACACAAGGTACAAAGTGACAGCTTTGTAGGGAAAAAACTCATTGTAAAATATGTAGATTTAGTTGTTTCAGGGCACAGGGAATCTGTAATGACTTGCTTTGATAACAAAAGATTGTTTGGAGTGTTTGTGCTTTCCTTGCATATATATATTTTCAGGCTTTTTGCGGTGGGCTGGGCAACCCGCCAACATTAGTATTAATAATTGAGTAAATTTTGTAGATTCAGTTATCGCTTCTTTAATTAGGAACAGAAATCATTCATGTTTGCTTTGAAGATTTCATAGTCTTGCTTCTCAAATGTGATTTTTTTAAGGTCACTCCAGTACTTTTAAATAGATAATGTAGAATGATATTTAGCGTCCGTAAGGGTTTAAACTGATGTGAGTTGTCTTTAAATTATATCTATACCAATATTAGAAAGACGAAACATTTGTATGTAAGTATGTTTGTTAAGAATTGGCTCAAAAAGTACTGGACCGATTTTAAAAATTCTTTCACCATTTAAATGCTTCATTATCCCTTATCAATATAGGCTATTTTAATTGCAAGAATAATAAAGATCCCTACTAAAACTACAATAATGGTACCCAAGGTGTAAAAAAAATTACTACAAAATATCTTTCATCGCATACGCTTCGAAAACTATTGATGTTAGAACAAAATAATGTTCAACAATATTAAAGAACATATCAATATCTACAAAAATATTTAAAAACTAAATCTCCACCCGAGCGAAGCCGTGACGGGCCGCTAGTATTAGATAATTTGTAATATTTCGTACGTGAAAATAGTTGACATACACATTCTAAGTAAAGATCGACGACAGCAAACGATCGAGCACAAGATAAATATTATATTTTTCTCGCTATAATTCTCTTTGTAAGAATATTTTTCAAATCAAATTCTTTAAAGAAATGCTAAAGTGAGTTTATTCACTTGACTTAACAAATTCCAGTTGAGTTATCCTCGTGTTGGCGTCACTCTTTGTGGTCAGAATACATTAGTAGCGCTCACTCGGAATACTAATGAAAAATATAGATTACACCTTCATAATGCCCCCATACTTTAGTAAGGCGCAGTGGTGAATTAGCACGAAGGGCTTATGTCTAAATTTGTTGTTTAATTAATCATATCTACATTTATGCTTGTGTAATGAAAGTTGCATCATTCCTTATTAAATAAAATAATTAGATTAAAATCTCTAATTCCTCATAAATGAAGATAATATAGAAATTTCAGTTCTCAGTACCCTTTCAACCTATTCACCATCACGGGTGCTCTCTTGAGGGTTCTGCCTTTTTATTTACCAACATTCGGGGCAGCTCCCAAGAGCACCATTGTTTAAGTGAGGCGAGGTTCCAACAAAAGAAAATAAAAATTTATACAATTTAATGTAGTATTTCCACGGCAGAGTTAATTTGAGTAATTGTAGTTTACCACTTTTTGCAACAATTCTTTTTTATAATTTGTTCATGATGCTTCGAATTTAATTGCACGAGCTCTGGGTTGTGATATACCAAAAAAATTAAAGCGAGATAATGTTAAACATTGATAAAGTTGAATTATTACATTATTGAATAACTGAAATTTATTGGATGACATTTGATTTTTAAATTTACTTATTCATAAATACAGAAATTAATAATTCATTCGTATGTTAGAAATACTGAAAACAGAGATTTAAGACACAATTTTGATTTAAGAAATCACAATTGTGTCTTTAAAATGAGAATGAATCCGAACACAATTGTGATGGTTGCATACTAATATATATAGTGTTCACATTTTACACTATATATATATTACAAGATATACACATGTTCTTGCCTTCTTAAAATAGTACTGTACCTTCTAAGAAACTAGTTTACGAACCTGCTTATACATCGATAAGACCTAAGCGGTAACTTAAAGTTGCTCGTCAAACTTTTAACGAACTTGAAGCGAATTAGATGATTATCTTGGCAAGCGTTTGGTCCAAAGATTTATCAGCTCAACTCATTATTCTAACTCCTTCGTTGCATGCCGTCTTGGGGCTGAAATACCTAACAAACTTACTTAAGAGTAGAACGGCTTAATTTACAGATATAATTTGTTTCAACACAATTTGGAAAAAGCTATTTTAATATTTCAATGATTAAAAATTTTCATAACCTGTTAATTAACATAGTTTAAAAGCCTTTAATATGCAGCAGTTCCGGTGTATTCCATCTATGGGTGTGCTTTTTCTTAGTGTCATCGGCCGCATACCAACTAGATTTTCCACTTGATACGTGCTATGATTTATAACTTCACGTATATGGAGTGTTGAACCACGGTGACTGAATTCCAGTTAGCTTTCTTTACTTAATTGACGGCTTAAAAGGAAAACCAACTACATACAAATGCTAACAATTTAAATTGTATATTTTATCTTAAATGAATACCATTTCAATTTTAATTTTTAACTCAGTTGCTTAGTTAAAAACCTAAAACACTTTACACTCGTAGAAATTACGACTTATTATTCCTGTTAAAGTAGTTTTTAATCTGACATTGGATACTCAAATGTTTGTAGCTATTTAAATCTTCCCTCTTTTATTGTATTGCTGTACTGTTTAGATTTTTTAGGAACTATTAAACTTAATGATTTTTAGTAGAAGAACAAGTAGAGTAGTGAGAGAGATTTATTGGTTGGTTTGTTGTGTCAGTTGAGCCACAATATACATAGTATGATTAGAGAATGTGTTGCAGCGCATGAACTGAATACGATATTGGCGTTATTCAACCTTCTTGCCAATTGTATGTGGCACGTGGATTTAAATTATATTCACTTTACCTTTGGTATATCCTATCGCTTACTAATCCAACAGGCTATGTAATCGAGTAAATGTATGTAAAATGACACAGGATATAAAACTTCGATAGGGGTCGGCACCACGCGATGTGATCGCTTATCAGACTATCTCGTAGTCTGCGGCTTTAGCTCGAAATAACCTGATAAATCTCTTTGACGACGCGATAGATTTTCGATTAAATTGCCAGGATAGCAGGACGAAAATCATACTAGTACGTACGTTTAGGACCGTTTGTTTCTTGTAGATAAATTTAGACACAATTTGTTGTTGCTGTGAACCTTCCGTTTAGTCTGTCTCTTAATTTTATTTCGTTGATTTATATGACTGCAGTATTAGGGTTTTTTTCCTGATTATATTACTTTACTGAAACATTTAGACAGTTCCTTATTGAAATATTAGATGTCGGCTCGGATGAAACTTTTTTCAAGAAAGAAAGTTCAGTTTTTTTAGATTTTCCGTCATTCGGCCATTCGATGTGGACTTGGATGCAATCCAATTTCACTGTCATTCAATATAAGCCTTGAGGTTTCATTTCAAAGTGTAAGTTATGTAATTAAGTGCTGGTCCTTGGATTTGAAACAGAGCTCCTATGTTAAATGCGAATATTTTTATTGGTTTATAATTTAAATATATAAATGATTAATTACATTGTATGTTGGCTTGTTATATTAATACGTGAACAAAATAGGATGTTGTACTAAAAAACTAATATTCGTTGTCTCACAAGGAATAATAAAATGTACATATAGGAATTGTCTAGTAGAATAGTTCATTCTGAGCACTCTAACCGCAGTTAGCGCTTCCCAAGAGACCTAATCAGGCCACTGTCTATCACAGATACTGTGTTGTGTACGATGGTTTTGTATTTTTTTTGTTTTGTTTGTATCTGATATATACTGTAAAGTCCATGATCCTTGAATTAATACATCACTTTTATATTAACATGATATGAAACATTTAATAGTGTTTAAAAGCTCATAATTCCAGAATAAATCATATTTTTATTTTTTACAATATTCACTTTGGATGTAGTTTAATTAATTACATCATTTTAATATATGCTTGTTAACATTTGTTGTGTTTTATTGACATATCTTTTGCAAGTAATCTCCTTAGTATCCCTTCTTGTTATATTTAACTTAGCGCTTAAAGTATTACTTAAGTTTAAACCAACCCTAACTTCAGGATATATCCAGTAAACTTCTCTGTCAGTTAGTGCTAACTGTAATCTCGTTACAAGTTTTCGCCTCCAATAAAAGCAGAGTTAGCTATTGATTATCGAATGCGTTTAACTTGGTCTATTAGATTCTAGATACACCTTGGAACTTCAATATATGTAGGTACTTCTTATTAAACTGAGGCCCTAACTTGTACGAGCCAAGTCAGCATTTTTGATTATGCAAGCTTCTTTCATTTTAATTTTGAAGCAACACAAGACGCAACGTTACTTATAGTCCAGTCCAATCACTGTATTGCTCCTTTTTTTGACTAGTGTTTCTTGTAAAATCACAAACTTCTTCGTACGCGTGAGTGTTAATTGCACTCATGGAATTATTGATGCACAGTCGGGGTTTGAACGCAAGATCGAGGGAGTTACCTAGTTAGTTACAAATTTTTAGCTGAGGTTCAGATATTGTGGCACGATAACAGTCTTACAAATATACTCGCTAGTCTGACACTTATGGAGACATTTTTCATTTGTTAGTTTCGTAGTAAGGTGGTAAAAAATGGTCTAGGTGCGGTTACGGCGTACTTGTCACGCGATCGTACGCTCTATCATGCTGACTTTAGGATGCTTGAATCCACAAGATAAAAGTTTAATGTACTGATTGTACATTAACCTAATAATATTTTCCATAAGAAAGAACAAATAAATATAAACAGAATTTTGACGTAATATTCAGGAAAAATTTATGTAAGTTACTACTTGCACTTTTATTTATAATTTAATAATTAAAATGTAATTGTTTGTTATATATAATATAGTCAAATAATAATAATATACATATATTGTCTAAATATTTTGCCAATCAATCGGTTATATTTGTACTTATAAATGGAATTTCACAAATCCTCGTTGAATAGCTAGTCATTGTCAATATGCTGCAGGTTACCAAATTAATCAAGTGGAGTTCGGAATTCCCGGTTGTCCAGCGGAAAAACATCGTAGAATCAGTGATTTGTGGCTGAAACCGACACTAAAATAATATAAACTGTTTCTATTTGTGCACTGTCTTTTGTATGAACTGTAATGGACGGAATGTTCTGAGTATGGTTTTAAATCGATTATCAATAATAAGCAGCACACATATCTAGTGAAATAAAAAATATTAAATGCTCATTATCCATTATATTTCACACGATACATGCAAATGTATAAAATTCTCGTGTCACAATGTTCGTTCCCATACCCTCCGAAACGGCTCGACCGATTCTTATGAAATTTTTTATGCATATTCAGTAAGTCTGAGAATCGGCTACTATCTTTCAAAGCCCTAAATGTTAAGGGCTTTAGCATAGCGTAGCAAAATGTTCCATGTTGGTATGTACTAAAAAGATAGGCTAAGTAAAATGACATTGAGGAGCAACGAAGTTCGCGGGAGTAGCTAGTTTTATATGAAAATTTAGAAAAAGCATGTCCATTAAAAATGTGATAAATACATTGGCGCTGAGCTGTCAAATATATAAATTCGTTTTCGCGTGATAAATAGGTTTATAGGTCAATAGTAGCGGGCCAAAGTTGGCACGTTGCGAACATGATTGTCTCCCTCACGAGAGGAATCTACTAATGATCGTTAGTAATTGAGCACAGTAGTTTTTTTGAAATCGGCTTCCTCTCAAGGGATCTACAAGGTACAAAGTTATATTAGCGGTTAAAATAATAAAAAAAAATTCATTTGTTTAATATTAATCCAGTAGATTTAAGATAAAAAAATACAAAGGTTTCTTATAGTTATGTACCTGGTGTGATAATATTTTACTGACTTAAATTGTATGGCGCAAATTGTATGAATCATATACTTTCCCTAAATAAATTTTTGATAGGTTGTCTAGTTTTTATTTGCTTTCCAACATTTCTGTTTCCTTTTACAAAGTTATAAGGCATTGAAATGAACCAAACTTGGATCCAGTATTGGATTGCGGTGGTGCGGAGTGGCTCATGAATTATTTACATGTCGTCAACAGGACGTGGTGGAGTTGGTTAGATTTTCATGAAACGCAGACACAGCTCGGCCAATTTAAGCAGATTCAAATAGATTTGACTCAACTTGAAACTAGCTAGTTCCGTGGAATTTGTATCATCGGAGTTTATTAATTTTAATAAGTAACAATCTTTTATTAAACGCTTGAAGTAGGGCAGGTTTGTTATAATAATTTATTTGATTACTTGTGTATGTCAATAAAGGAAAGCCTACTTGTGTCAACTGACTTCTTTATGATATATCGAAATTTGGTTTCAAATATATTCGAATTTAGTCGCATGCATTTCTTAGAGCTTGCAGAGCCTGAAATATCATAGTAAGTTTTAAGAGTATTAGAACAAGTTCACTTCATTTGAATACCAAGTTTTAGTTGCATCAACTTTAAGCATTCAAATACGTTACCTAACTTAACCAACGATGTGAAATAATTGCTGTAAGGTGGTTTTATTGTGGTGATTATGCTATTTTCGATAGCCGAGTGGTATGAATAATAAAGCTGGTTTAATTAGCGCAGCATGAAAATATTTGCATAATAATTGATATGAGAAAAATAAGTATTTTTCTCTATGAATATATTAATATTTTAGGTTTCAAGATATTTTTGTCGTAGCAAAAATAAAACACAAGTCAATAATATACTTACTATATTATCCTAACCTAACAACGTTGTGCCTTTCATGTCGCTTAGAGGGCAATGCTTGTCATGTTGTTTGCTTTTCATGAGTGCCTGCTATCGAATAGCCTTCGATTTGACGTTTTTCATAATTCTTATTGACGTGTAGGAGGGTTAACAAATAAACTTTTACCCGTATTACAACTAACTTGTGTAGTTAAAGTTACCGATTAAAGGCTATAAGATTATTAGTGAAATGAATTAGATATACAGTCAAAACTGTTTACGACGACGTCGTTTAGAGCGACATACCGGTTATATTGACCAAAATCAAAGGTCCCGGCTGAATTCTATTACATATTATCATTTTATGTCTTAGGATCTTAATAACAACGACATCGGCTGTTACTATTATCGGTTTTTACGACCAAATATGAGTAGATCCTTCGATGTCGTTATAACAGATTTTGACTGTAGCTAGAAGAAGCGACACAGACATGTGTCAATGTGTGCGTATTATGGATATGGAGGAAGGGTTAAAAGAAACAAAGATGGTATTTTCTACATTCCAGTTTTTATTAACGTATATAAATTGTTCCAGATCTAGTGGGTGGTCGGGCGTGGTGGCGGCAGGAGCCGCGAGCCCGGCACCATGGCGACGGTGGAGGGGCGGCCCGCCCAATATGGGGTGACGCTGCGGCAGCTGCGCGAGCTGATGGAGACGCGCGGCGCGGAAGGAATAGCGAAGATCAACGCGCTCGGCGGCCCACAGGAACTCTGCAAGAAACTTTACACCTCACCCACGGATGGTAAGTAGCATAATTATAACCGGCAGATTAGTTATTCAAAATGGACTACGACATCCACATTCCAGAAGACGAGGGAGAATTTTGTATCGTCTTGACTTAATTAGATATTCCCCAGCAAAGTTTGTGAATCGCTTTTCCTGACTTACGTAATTTATTTTAAAATTAAATAATGAGCGGTTACTTCCAGTTTAATACAATAGAGTCAGTAATTAGAGTCCATTTAGTATATCGTATTATTGTAATAAAAAGCTGCTTTAAATAGCTAATGCTCGTCACTTTCTCTAGCTACCTTTCCTAAAGCTTGTATATATTTACCTCGATATTCACATATTATCACATACACTCAAGGGTGTTCTAAAATTCGCTCACACAAATACGAGCTAATTATGTATTCCCGTTCAAAGAGATGTATAACTTCAGTTTCGGGACTTTGTTAATGAACTAAACTTATACAATTCGCGATTTACCTATTCTGTATCGCAATTAATTCTAAAGTTTCGCCAAATGTCAAAAATAGCACTCTGAGGTCGTGAACTTTCAGCGCTCGACTCCTGATGTATGGGACATATATTATATTCTATATATACAAGGTAAAAGTAATATATTACACGTATGTTCAGGATTGAATACATTAGGACATTGTATTATCATTTTTTTTATTGGAACGTGAACTTTATCAAGTGGAAAAATCTATGTTCAAAGTATACTCTGTATACTCGTAGTAGCAGTTTTCTATTTAGTTTTTCGAGTTTGTTTAAAGTTGTTAGAAAAAGTTTTGGAGTTTTTACAGTACCGTAGTCGGCTTGTTTTGTTGTTCGTTATTACAACTGTTATTTCACGTAGTGGAGATTTTAAATGAACGTTTTTACTTTATTGTAGTTTTTGTTGAGAGTTGTCTTGCTCCAAATTTGATTTTGCACGTTCGCTTGTACCACGCTGATAATATTTCTATCTTTATAATCGATAATTTGTTTTAAAATTAAAAATTCATTCTGAGGTACATTTCCCTTATTGCGGGCTTGCTGTTTTCGTACTACAAATGAATGTTCTGTCCTCATTGGAACTATTGTAAGTGAAAAATGGCTTTAATGTTCATTCATCATTCCATCATTAAGAATTTTTGTTTACTAATGATTATCAGATCGAATATTGGTTCAACTTTTAGTATCTGTACTAACAACATCAGTTTCAAAAAAAGTTTAATAATACTTTTTTTAACTTTTGGCACATATTGGCATGTAAGCTTAACTCCTTGATCTCAAGTGAAATGGGATACACAATCATGACAGTCTCAACCAGGTTGCACCGACGAGAAGAGGCGAATGCAACTAATTCAATATCTCAATATCCATTAGAAAAAATAACTCATTTTTATATTTATTCCTTTTAATAAAAAATTATCGAAATCTATTTAGATCGTCAACGAAACTTTCGCTCACTACGCTTATCGTGAGATTCAAAATACGCTGGCGTTTTAGAAAATAAATTTTCCTATCGTAAACGTATTGAAGCTTAATCTAGTGGATTGATCAGGGCTCCATAGTAGTTGGTGATAGGCATCGTGACATGATGACACGATAATGTCTGAGGGTACGTCGAACATTATTGCCATGGATTAGACTTCATAAAAAACTTTACTCTGAGTATACTCTGAGAAAACATTGTAATATCTTTTAGATTACAGAAACACTTGTTAATTTCTTACATGAGGCCACAAATTGAAACTCAACAAAACCGTTTCTCTCAAGGCTCTGTTTAGACATGACGTATCGAAATGAATAAAACAACGAATTACTTTGATCTCTAAAATGAAGGGAGATAATCAAACGAACTCTCGTGCCCAAATTAGATATTTCGGTTCGCGTGAAAATTTGATCATTCAAACGTTCGCTCGCTCTATCGATCGAAGTTCACTGAACCGTTCTCGTTCGCGATACGAATATCATATTGAATGGCTTGGATTAATCACTGGTTTTTCCGTATGCGTTTTGAAAAAGTCCTTTAAGATTTTTTTGTATAAACTGAATTTGCAATGATGGAATGGATTTAGTGTAAAAACTTCTAATTAAAAACAGTTCTTACATCTATGCCTTGGTTATTTTAAACATGATTGTATAAGCAGAATCAAACTTTAATTATTTTAAGGTTATTACCCATTTTGGGTCCTAGCATGTAGTGTAATTGTAGGATGTTAAACAGGAACGCCATGAAGATGTTCTACGAATAACTTTACAATGCTATCTAGTGATTGACCTAAATTAAAAGAAAAACTAATGTTATTGTCGTAAAGCAGTGGCGTGTGGCTGGCGGTTAAATTACGATTCCAATGAAAATCGCTACTAAAACCGTATTAATGTTTCATTAATGCTATAGAAACCAGATTAACACGGCTTTATTACTTCAACTAACTTCACGCGCGGATTCGTTCACAATACATTCGTTTGCGTCTTAAATATTGATATCAAAAGTCAAAAATCATTTAATCATATAGGTAACACAATGTACACTTATGAACGTCAAAATAAGAAATGTATATGAAATGCTATCTAACCTATCTAATCTAACTTTACAATTACTGCCAGTTCTCAAATCAAGGGCGCAGAACGGAAGCGAAGAACTGGCAATAAACTCTCTGCCACTTTTTTTATTTTAAACAACGTTTGTAAGGAGCTGCAATCATTCCACAACGTTCCACATACCATCTTAAGTAATTAATAATAATAACATAAATTAAAAACGAAGACTTGTCCTCTATCATCAGGATGCACGGTGAAATAGGAGCACGCACTTACATACTTCAGAACAACACGCAAACACATAGTCGAAATAACTAACAAAGCATAATATATACAATATAGTATAATCCATGTCCAGTCAAACAGTGTTCCTACAAGTAATCTGCATATGACATATACTGACTTTATCAGCCTATAGCTATAGAAGCAATGATGCCAGTGTTTACGCTGTAATAATTTGTTGGAAAGTAACTGCTTGCCTGTGAATAAATGTTTTAGGAAGTAAAAATGTATGTACCTTCTTACCATTGGGTTGTACTTACAAACTCTTGAGAATAAGCCATGTCATAATTTTAATCAGAACAAACGAATAGGTTTTAGTACATAAGAAACAACAATTTTTTCATTGAAAATATTGCTAACACTTTTAATAATAAGTTCGACGTAGTCTATTAAACTTCATCGCTTTTGCATCTTTTTGTGTTCCTCTGTAATGGAAATATAAGAGCTTTATTGTAATTAACTTAATTGTTGTTACCTTATTTACTTGTAATTAATAAGATTGCACATTTCTTTTGAAAAGTGGGGTATCTGCTGATAACGTCGAGTTAATTTCCACAGGGCCGTACGTAGGCATCGATCAAACTTCATATGTGGGCCAAGTTCGTAATGTGATAGCGGATTGTGGATTTTGTTTTAGTTGAGAAAACTGGATTTCGTAGGTATAGTTTGCAGTAAAGTCTATAATATAGAATTTTTTATGAACTTGTTATATGATTTCCCATTACAATAATGTTATTATATATTTAGGCACATCACCACGGAACGATGAGGGAACATTCCTTTAATTGCGGACTATGTTATCTACAAGGTTAATTGGCTTTCCAAAAACATTACATCATTGCACACTCAGCGTCGTAAACCTTGCGAATTCAAATCTTGTTGATACAAGTGACATAAGTCTGATCTCATCATTGATTCCTGTTATGTATTTTTATGTCCACTGATTAGCCCGTCAATAAATATGTAATTTTTTTTAATTTTGGTTGTTAGATGGATTAGATTATTTTCAACTGTTCGTTCGTTACGGGCTTTTGATTCTCTACGTAAATGTCAATTACCATTTGTATCGCCCCGACTGTGCGATAATAATTTAAAAAAAACTTTAGAGGTGTCAAGGGACACCCGGATGGAACGAAATTCCTTTCGATTAATTTATATGTTAATTGTTATCATAACAGTATGATAGATTATCTCGACACCAATCTTAGACGAAAAAAAAAAGCCAACATCACGAGGTGTTCCCAGGCGGTCACCCATTCAAGTACTGACCTCGCCCGACGTTGCTTAACTTCGGTGATCGGACGAGAACCGGTGTATTCAACTATTCAACGTAGTATGGACGTTGGCGATAGCTAAATCGAAAATGTAAAATATAACAACTATAGCAAAAAGTGTCGTTACAACTTTTGGTCTTAATTTATTCCGTCTAGCCCCCTTTCGCAACGCTCGATAAAAAACCAACATCACGAGGTGTTCTCAGGCGGTCACCCATCCAAGTACTGACCTCGCCCGACGTTGCTTACTTGTATAAAACCGGTTATTACAATAGAAATAGTAAAAAAGTGTCGTGACAACTTTTCGTAAGAATTTTTCCGTCTAGCCCCCTTTCACAACGCGCGATAAGGAACTTCGTTCCAAAACAACGTTTTCCAAGAGATGTCGCAGGCATATTGATTATAATTAATCTATCTAAATGTACCACTTTCGTTGCAAATAAACGATTTATTTATCTGATTTGCAGAATATCGTAGCTATCTATTATGAAATCTGAACAATAGCTTGAAAGATTATCGAGAAGCCTTACCTCTTGACGTGTTGATAGATGAGCCCCGACGCTTTTCACGAGAAATGATCTTAACAAAATAGTATGCAGGCGTACTCGGCTGCATTTTTGATATGGCACGCTGCCAATGCCTCGTATGCCATTACGGGCCTTACATATTCATTTATCATCTTTTTAAATGGTATAATTCAATCTGTGACCTTTTTGAGTGTTATTCCATTGAAATTACATTATTTTACATTTTTTGAATTCATTCAAACAAAATGAATTCATTATTTCTGAGCCAAGCAATTTTCTTGTGATGGAGTATGTTAATTCATATATCATATCATTAATAATTGCAAAAAAAATATATTTTATTTATAAAATTATCACACCATCACGCATAAGCTAAAGCTATGTGTTAAGCTAAGCTAAAGAATT